TGGGCGATTGAAAGTTTGGAAATTGCTTCCTGGGTAGAGCTGACAACATTTTACGGACATACCCAAGGCATGGTCATTGGTGTTCTTCTGGAGCCGCTAACCTCGCTGTATGGCATTCATTCAGCTATGATTGCATATGAAGCCTATAAGACCGTTCGCAATGATTTACAATCAAGATACAATGTGCCTACTGAAAAGGAACCCTGTGTTTGACTTTAAAGATTCGGTATTACCAAGTTTGGTCAAATTTTGTTGTTGTATTACATTTTCTACGTGTTCCAGGGTGAAAAAGCGCTTTCGGCCAAACTTTTCTAGTAAGAAAATGGGGATTTTCCCCGGAGGTAATTGTCCTTGGGGATAATTGTCATGGGGGGGGGGGGAGGGTGGGTAATTATCCTCGGGGTTATCGTCCTAGAGGTCAATGTTCCGGGAGGTAATTGTCCTTGGGTGGTTGTCCTTGGGGTAGTTGTCCTTGGGGTAGTTGTCCTTGGGGCGATATATTTCAGGTTCAGGGGGGGGGGGGGGGGGGGTGATTGTCCTGATACGCATGAATGCATATTTGATATAGATTGTAATGCTCAATCAAGATAAAGTGTTTAATATATAACACCTGTATGGTTTTACTTAGAAATTAATATGATTTAATGGAACATGCGTCATTTCGCATTTATTGCTTTACTGATAATGTGATCCAATAGAAAGATGTTGTTTATCACTTGTATTTTTTCCAGGACCCTGTTTCATGAAACTTGATATCAATAACGAGTTACAAGCTACTGTTATAAGTTACTGAAGTCATGGAATTTGATCGGCCGAGAGCAAATTTGTCATAGGAATTTAGCAGTCGTTTTCTAGATAACATAATATGGAACGGGCTCCTAGTCTCCCTAAGCTCGTGTTTACTCTGCTCCCTAACACGGTCCACCCCGGATATCTCATCCAACCCACCCCATGACATGTCTATAAAGGTTCTAAGACAATTATCCCCTGGTCAGTCACCCTCGGAAAATTACCCCCCCCCGAGGACAATCACCCTCCCTGAAACAAAATTAAAAACCAACTTACTATTAGGGTGGCCTTTAATGAACAGGGAGTAATTTTCGGGGGGGGGGGGGTCGGGAGATGGGGCCATAATTTTCCTCAGCGGATGGTTTTTCTTGGGGTTATTGTCCTTTGGGGTAGTTTTATGTTGGGTAATGTTCCGGGGATTATTGTTCAAGTGGTAATTGTCCTGAAACGGTATTATCTATAGAGAGTTCATTGGGTTACGGACTGTTTTCAAGTTAACCTTGATATGGCGCTGTGCAAATTCATCTTTTCAGTAAAGACGTTTAATATCTCATTGGGTTCATGGACCTATCATTGCATTCATGTATATCACGTATGCCTAGTCTTATTGTTATTTTATTTAATTGTATATTATATTAAATATTCGGCATCAAATGTGGTGGACTGAATTATACGCATTGATGATGGATAAAAGCAAGATGCATACATGAACACATAACTAGTTTATAACGACAAAATATAAGATCATACAAGTGGTAATAATAACATAGTATTTCAACGCTATTTTACTTTATTTCATGAATTTTGATCATTAACAAGCATTTCAATCCAACCATTTTGCTAGTAAATATGGTGATATATCCATGTTTATCCTCGACTTTTCTTTCCATTGGCAAATCCTCACAGTACCCCAAATTATTGAGTACATCAAAAGTGCCCCTTTTACTTCAGCTAAGAGTACCATTTTTTTTTTATAGGTGCCCGCTCCAAATTCTTATTAGTGCCCCTTACTGCCTCTGTTACTTGCCTCTATTCTAATCTGAAAAGTGCCCCTTTTAATGTGACGAGTGCCCCTTTCCACCTCTGATAAGGGCCCCTCTTATTTTGACACGGCGTGTCCTTTTTCCTTTATAAGATCACCTTCCCCTTTTCATCAATGCCCCTTTTCACCACTGATAAATGCCCCTATTACAAACTGATGCGTGCCCCTTTTGCTTCGCAAGCTCCTTTTCAATTATTATTAGTATCCTGTTTTGCATTTCTGGTGAGTGCCCCTTTTCAGGTGCTGAAGCGCTGATTTTAACCTCTGATAATTGTCCATTTTACTTTGACAGTTGCTCTTTTCCTTTTCTAAGTGTAATGTTATCTTTTGATAAGTGCCCCCATACTCACCCCATAATGTGTGCCCCTAATTTAAAGCGACTACGAGCAGATATTTCTTTAATTTCCCTCAAAGCTCATAATTTGATCGCGCTTAGAACCTCGCCAGGGTTGGGTCTTTCCCCTTCCTCGCTCGCTTCGTAAATGAACATTCAGACCATCACATGCAACTGCAATGTATAATTCTTAAAGGACAAGTCCACTCCAATTATCACTTACTCTCAAAAGAAGCAGAAACATCAGACAAACCACTCAAAAAGGTTTAAGCAAAATCGGATAACTAAGAAGAAAGTTAAAATTTTTAATGACATGAAAAACTTTGAAAATCGCAAGACACATTGACAATTCACTTTGAGTCTGTGACGTCATTGCCTCGCTATCCACTAATTTTTTTTATTTTTTATATTGATGATACATATTTCCCATTTCCCTCCTAGGAATCTTATTTCCTCACACCAGCATCCAAGTTATACTGAGAGTAATATGTTTTTGTTGGATGCACTAATATCGAGGAATTTTAAAAAAGTTGAATCCTGTATTGTATTGTTTTTATTAAACTTCATTGATGTACATTAACATTCTGTTTATAAACATGTAAATCAATTTACAATGCAGTGTAACAAATCAATTTTCTGTTTTGAAACATACATAATTATCATATAAATCAATTTACAATGTAATGTAACAAATCAATATTCTGTTTGTAAACATATATATCATATATATAGCGCTTAAGGACTTCGGTGGTAAGCGCTTTATAAGTAACGTTTTTATTATTATTATTATTATAAATCAGTTACCAATGCACTGTTTATAGCAAAACAGAAGGAAAATTATATCCAGAAGAAACATTGAGTTTCGATACTATTCATATATAAAAATCAATGATTATGAACATAGTTATGGTGTGTAAATAACTTTAAAAGATAGTTTTTATAACCCCATGTTCTCAGTAAACACACACATATGTGTAATACCCAACATTCAAATGTATATTGAACAGGTTTGTAACTTCAAACTCAAAACGGAAATTATATCAATTGAAATGTATAATGCATTAGGCCTATTCGGTCAAAACATAACAAATCATGATTTTGAGCAAAAATTGCGCGTGGCATCCACCCGTATCTCATTCCATAGTATTTTTGCAAGATTTTTAGCATGAATGCCATTCATCACCCTGGAATACCATGAAATATTTTTCTAGAGCCTTTTTGATGTTTGGCTGGTCTACTTTTTGTATTGAATACGAATTTCAACGAAATATAATGAACTTGCATGTATTTATATTTTGTGTAGTGAACGACAAAGTGGTAACAATAATTGAATAGATATATATTAGTTATAGTTAATACAAGTCGAACTAGTAGGTAGAGGGATGTAGCCTATCCATCTTCACAAGACGACAGTGCCTCTAATTAGAATGCCCCACCCCAGACATAGATGGATGTAATGGCTTCTCCCCCCCCCTTCCCCAGGGTAGGATGAAGGGTACTTTTGCAGAAAAACACGATTTTCTCGAAAAATCTGAGTAAAAGCAATAACGATGAAAACAATTAGATCTATTAAAGGTGAAAGTGTGAACAGTGCAATATGCGCGCTACACATTTTGTGTGTGCGTGTACAAAAGTTTTGTGTGTTCTCCAGATTTGTAAAAGTTTTTTTAATAAATATAAGTACACAATATGTACAAGTGACTTATACATTATGTTTATGTATAAGCAATTAAGTAAAACAAATGACCTGTATCTACTTCACTTAGGACAATTTATGTATAAGTATTCAAAAAAGACACTTCCACATATATTTGATGCCATGTTCCCACTAAGTCGGTCATTTCATGATTACCCAACTAGACGGTCAAACGAGTTTCACCTTCCACTCTTTAGAACTTTATTAGCGAAGAAGTCTTTTATGTATGATGGTCCTAGATTTTGGAATTCTCTAAGTGAAAGTATTAAAAATAGTCCATCCCTAAATTCTTTCAAGAAAAATCTAAAAACATTTTTGCTCAAATCTTATAGTAATATACAAGAATAATCTGATAACAGTTGGTAATCATCTTAATTTTTCATTTAGTTCTTCATAATCTGCTCGATTAATTTAATATTTATTTGGTCTTATGATCTTACCTTCCCAAAATTAACATTATAACTTACCTTTTCCGGTCATGATTTGTCCTGCTTCTTCTTCTTCTTCTTCCTTCCCCCTTTTCCCCTTTCCTTCTTTCCTTCTTATCTGTTTTACTTCTCCTTGTTCGTTTCGTGTTTGTAAATTGTATGTTGTCTTAAAATATTGTCTTGTGTTTTCTTAAGTCTTCGTAGGCAAAACTTGAAACGTTTGTATTTTTTTTTTCTGGGGGATCCACAACCTACAAGCACTGCTTTTTAGTGGATCCCCCCCCCCATTTCCTCAGATATTAAGAAATTCTTGTAATTATTTCATTATGTGCAAAGTTTATTTGTATAGTTTCTTGGAAAAATGAATTATGTATGAAATCAAATGTAATATCTTTATTTACCTTTCTGTTGAAAATGAAATAAATATGAGTATGAATATGCATATGAATATGAATAATATTAAAAACGTTTATTTATTCTATTCAATTGTATGTTATTGTTTGTATTACACATTTGGAGGAATAAAATGAAATTACTATTACAAAAAAAGAAAGAAAAAAGGGCTCTGTATGTATTGCGAATGGATCTGTGACGATCGTCACTAAAGCGACCGGATGAATGTTCAATAAGTCGACTGTGGCGGGAAAAAAGTTAAGATAAAACGTGTGTTCAGACATAGGTATGTAGGCCACACACACGCACACACGCACGCACGCACACATGCACACACATATATTATATGTACAACGATGTACAATTTTGTGTAAACGGCCACTTATTACATTATAATCTCGGAATCTGTATAGGGTGGGGAGCCTGTCACTGTCTCTTTCTGGATCAACATTAGTTGTATAGAGGGCATCTGTTCTTCCAGAACTTAGAAATAATCGTCGAATTGGCTGCCAAGAAGTTCTTGACTACGGATCCAGAGGATACTGCCTCTACGACTGTGTGCGTGCACAATAAACTGAGGGTCCGCACAAATCCAGCACCTAGGACTAGCGTCTTCCACCCAACAGAAGCTGCACGCCAGCCTGTACGACCTGCCGCAACATTGGTGATTCGGAACAAGGCGCCGTTGCAGAGGAACGATGAGGTGCCTCCCTGTGGAACCCGCTGGTCTGAATGGCCATCTTGAGCCGAAATCGTAAGTCCTCTTTGGTCTGGTACTCTGGTATATCCAAGGACAGAAATCCTCTGCAGGTCATCACCTCTGGCATGAGAGTGCCGGGTTCGGGGAACTTGTTCGGCACTACAGGATCACGGTATTTGTCAGCCATGTTGTTCAATCGTCTCACAGGGAAGCGAACAAAGCCACCAACAGGAACATGGTCAGCACCTGTCAGGAACTCTGCAAGAAGCGATTAAAACAATATCATGTGCTTTTTATAAAGCTTAAAACATGTACGATGTCTCCAAGCGCTTAACAATTAACTTTAATAATATGAAAAGTATACTACTCCGAAACCTGTATAAAGACCTCTCAAGAGAGACGATAAAAGTGGTCTTTATACAGTGTGAGTCAAAAAAAAGTTTACACCTAGAAAATTGCAAGTTATTTTTAAAATCATCTATGAACAGTAAATTAGTATACATCTTATGAAAGAGGGTTTTTATCCCGAATCATTTAGTATCATTTTGTGTGGTATGTGTTCACGCTTGGATGAACAGGAGGCATTGTTTGCGAGAGTGCAAAAATCGACTTGCGCCAAAGTTGCTTATGTGATGTTTGAATAAAACAATTAGGATTTGGGTAATAATTCGGTCATTGCAGATCCAAATAACATCTCTAACAACACATATCAAATATCGAATATCAAATATCAACCAACATTAATTGTGCGCGCGTGTGTATGTGACTTTGCTTGATTGCTTCTGCCAAAAGCATAAGCATTCCATTTCATTTGATACATTCAATTCATTCTCTCACTCCGCTAATCCCAACGTAAAACATACTGCAGGCATCACTTTGGCGCAAGTCATGTTTGCACTCTCGCAAACAATGCCTCCTATTTATCCAAGCGTGGACACATACCCCACAAAAATAATACCGAATTATTTGGGATAAAACACTCGTTCATAACGTGTATAATAACTTACGGTTCATAGATGATTTTTAAAATAATAAGCAATTTTCTAGGTGTAAACTTTATTTTGACTCACACTGTATTAAAGCAGGTGGTCTTTATGCGCAGGTTCTCTTAGTACATGTGTCAATGCTTGCAATGTGTTTTAATTTGTTGTTTATTTTATTTCATTTTATTTATTTATTTTTTTTAATTTTTTTATATGTGATCACTATTAAAGATAAAGTTGAGTTCTGGTTATGCGATTGCATGGTAAAAAAAACGTTGTGGAATCGATCAAAAAAAGTTGATAGAGGAGAAGGGAGAAATAGGTAGGTAGACGTTTTGTTTTCGTTATTTCTTACTGAGGAATTGTCTCTTGTCATTTTCCTCGAATTCATCAAACACTTTCCAGAACATCTTGATGACCGGGTGGTCCTCGGAGTAGGGAAATTGGTACACGGCACTCTGCAAGGTAATCGGTAAGTACATGAAACGTTTATTTGTAAGTATGATTTATAAATCTCACCTATTTCTGTAGGTGTGATCGCCCCTAATATGAGGGCATTTGAAGAGCAATCCTGTCTTTGTATATATAGGGAATATATCTACTACGATATTCTTTCAAACTGTCATAAGAGGAATGAGAAACCTCACCAATAACTTTTCAAGAGACAGAAACAACCAGGCGAGTACGCAGGGGGGGGGGGGGGTCGAACCCCCTCAAATTTATTTTGTGTGCGTGTTTTGGAGGAAAATCCCCCCCCCCCCTCATTTCGGGACCAAAAAAAAAAAAAAAAAAAAAAAAAAAAAAAATGTGCTCTTACCTTCCCCTCTGCCCCTTTAAAAAAAAAAACCTTCAAAAAAATTCTTGCGTACGCGCCTGAAAACAACCATTACAAAATCTTACCAATTTGAAAGCGTTCCAGTCCAATTCCTCACCCAAGATGACGTCTCTCAGATCTTCTGCTTTGAAGATATCTTTCATGAGAGGTGTCATGGAGGCTATTCGGTTGAATCCTTTGGTAAAGGCTGCAAGCTGAGGAATGGCTAACCGCTTGGTCATCATCTCCTTGATGTACAGTTCCCTATTACACCGAAAAACAAAAGTAGCCTTCATGAATTTTTTTGAATTCGATTCAGTATACCTAGTAACTTTTTTTTATCTCTATTTCTTTTTTCATCTCTATTTCTTTTTTCATCAGCAAGAACATGAAGAATGCATGTACATAACATTATTTTATATTTTTAAAAATACAATTCAACGCTTTATTTCGAAAAACATAGAGTACAATGATGCACATGCTGCAGCTAAAAAGCTGAAATGTATATGTTTACAAGTATTGAGGATACTATAAATAGAAATAACTATCCATTCACAAAACATACTTACATAATCGTACAATGAAACCATGACAGATAAAATACTGGTTAATATGTAAATTGGGCTATCCGGCTGTGAATGTTGTACTCTTTACATGATTCGTAACTTTAACTCTCTACTAAACCCTTTGCCCAACCCTAAATATAAACCTAAAAATCTAGTTGCAACCTTAACCCTAGTCCAGAATGTAGCCTATTTAATTTTGATCTCCACCACACTAACGCTATCACCAGCCGATGATGGCGTGATCACTAAATTAGGACGCCCGGCGAAAAAATAGGGCTGGTGCGCATACTTATGATTTTGTTGATAACGCCATCTTCGACGGCTTGAATCAAGTGTGTAGGGAATATATAAAGGGCAGGGCAGATTCTGGACTACTTTATCCCCAACTCTTTATCTTTGACGAACTAAAGCCTTGTCGCTGGAGAACCACTTGTATTTACAAATGTTCATTTTTTTCCAAGGTTAATAATTCCGAAGGTTTATCATTCATAGGAAAAAAAAAACGTTTTATGTTGGAATCATGAACCCTATTCAATTTTTTGAAATAGAAATTTTCGGAATTATTGACCTTCGGAGTATTACGTGTTCGGAACTACTTTAAATCTCGGACTTACAAATTTTCCTTCGTGACGGGGACATTCTCGTCTCCTGGCCGGAGTTCTTCGAAGTCTAAATCCAGGGCTTCCACGTCCTCCGCCCCCATTTCACGAAGCTTAAAGAGTTGTTTGACAAACTCTTGGTCTATTTTCTCCAGATCAGACGCTTCAGGGTCTCTATCGAGTGATTAATAAATTCATTGTGAAATATAGGGTGACAAAGTTAAATAAATTATGTAATATTTTGTTCTTAAATTTCCCCCTTACGTCTGTACTTACCAACACTTTAGTCTCAACGATTATACATGGATACGAGTTATGATGTCGTAACGAACGCGACAAGTTTGGTACCAAGACAATTATCTTGCACGTGAAAACAAATTAAAAATCATAATCCACACAAATTGCAAATGAAAAGTAAAATATTCAATGATCTGTAGCTCATGTTTCAATGTTTGCGAAAAAATATATCTTGAAATATATACCAAATTTCATCAATTGGATAATAAATCTTTCCCCCTCTAAAAAAAACAAAATGAATACAATTTTACCCGTTATTGGATGGGATTCATGAAAAGAAAAACTGATTTTTCTTTTCTTCAGTAACTAACCGAATATTAGGGGAAATGTGTTTACAAATTTGGTTGAATTTACCCACTGTATGCAGAATGTTACCCAACGATTTTTGAGAATACATGCATATATCGGATTCAGCCAGTTCCATCTGCCTGCGACCGGTTCATACCTGTTTGAAAGCAGCTTCTCGTAAAGCTGCTCAGGGAAAGGTACGGTAGTAACAGCTCCATTGAAGATTAAGAGGGCAAAGAGGAGACCGATCTTCTCCAAGGTGCTATAATCCAGATACTCCTGCAAGAATACCAAATATAACAAATTATGTATAAACCATAGGATTGTCAAAACAATGTGAGTGGACCCGAGGAACTAAGAGGTAGAAGAAGAAGAGGAAGAAGGAGGAGGAAAAAAGAACAACTAGGAACAAAACAAAGCGAATAAAAAGGAAAGATAAGGTTTACTTGGGGAAAAAATAAGAAGATGTATAAAAAAAAGAAGAAGAAAAAGAATAAGAAAAGGAGGAAGAATAGAACTAAAAGGAAACAACTAAGAATACTAGTGGGGCGATTAGAAAAGGAAGAAGGAGTAGAGGAAGATGATGAATAAGAAGAAAAAGGAAAATAAAGAAGAGGAAGACCAGTGGAAGAAATAGAAGAGGAAGAAGGGGTAGAAGGAAAAAAAAGAAGAAGAAGATGATGAATACGAAAGTTTCCGATATCAAGAGAGAGTCTTATTTTTTAGCTGCAATGTTATACCCGCTGTGTGCATTTATGTTATGAGCTGTGCCATTTAGGGGTTCCTAATGAATTTTATGTTTAGTTGTGATAATGAGGAGAAAATGTATTCTAATTGAATCCAACGAATTCCGCATTGGAAGTTATTTATCTCCTTTACAAAATATCCAACGCTATTAAAGTAAAATGTGTTTCTGTTAATACTTGGATTATTTGACTTTTGATACAACACTTTTCTAGAGTATGAACTACTTACACGAATTAAAACTAAAGGAAAGGGGTTGTACGACCCCGGGGTACGACACTGTACATCCTACAGTACCCGAGTCCTGAACTTTAAACCCTGGACCAAAAACTATACCTAACCTTACATAACCTAAAATACAATTACAGCCCTATACCTGACATATAACGCAATATGAAACTTCTGACAATGTACTTCTAGAAATGACCCCCAAATATCCGCAGATCATTTAACTCTGAAATGACTGGGGGGGGGGGGGGGCTGATTTAGACCCCCTCCTCTATTTTCGCGATTTCTTGGTAATGCTAAAATATTTTACGGTGTCACTTCATGGCTTTTTTCTTAGAGTCTTAGGCTCTTTTTGAAACGGGAAAAACAGAGAAAAACAAAGAAAAATACAATTTGTTTAAAAACTGTGCAATATTGTAGATCTCATGGACATCTATCACCATGCCACATTTGGAGTCAACCGGAGTTTCCGTTGCCGAGAAAGGTTCAAAATAGTCTTATTAGGGTTATTTGTATATGATCTGCAAAAAGGACATCTACCACATTCATTAATGAATTACTTTGCTTTAATGAATCACATGTATAGAACAAGAGGGGGAGAACATTTAATGCTACGATTATCTAAATTTAGTACGACACGTGGGACTTTTTCAATTTCTTTCATTGGAGCAAAGCTGTAGAATTAATTTCCCATACATATAAGAGAAGAAAAAAACAAGATCATCATTTCGTCAAAATCTCAGAATTAAACTCCTAAGCAGAGATGAATCATAAGGATCAAATGATATGATATTAAGACAAAATAAATGTTAATATGAATTTGCATACAGTTTTAGAAACTCGGAGAACTAATCCCGACTAGCACTCGTGCTAACTTTTGGTTCGCCCTTTAACAACATTTTAAGTTGTTAAGTTTAAAAATATCCTTTATTTGAATCACTTATAGGTTATTGGAACTCTGTGAATTTCAATTCCAGCCACAAATCTCTACGTATTATTAAGTTATAACTAATTCACATGTTTGATATGACATGATGATTAACCTTATTTTTACATGTGGTTTAACTATGGATATTTGCTTTTTCATTGTAACCCATATACATGGATATGTATACGACATGTTATTTTTGTTACCCACTTTAATACAATTGTAACATTGTGTTATGTTGTTGTTGTTAATAAATTCAAATTCAAATTAATTCAAATTCAAAATGGAGAAGTCCCGCTTTGTGTATTTTAGAATAATCACTGCCAAAGCGATGGGGTGCTTCATTGTTTGCCTTCTTGAAAGGCACCTCTTTCCATAGAATGTACGGTTGATGAATAAACGAATACTAATTATCTTACTTTCATGAGCAATTTTTTAAATGTTTTTTTTAAACAAAACAATCTTTATCTTCCCATGCGCAGATTGAATCTCCGAAGCGGCTTATTGTAACCAAAAGCCTAACACTATAGCCCGAATTCACAAAGAAGGTTTGTCGACAAACCTAGGTTAATGTGCGTCATATGACGCGTTTCGACGCGTTTCAAACCAAGGTTCGTACACCTTGCTTTGAAACGCATCGAAACGCGCCATATGACCTAGGTATGTCGACAAACCTCCTTTGTGAATTTGGGCCACTATCTCCGACGAAACTATGACATGAGCTGAACTGTCGCGCGAGTAAATATGTCAGGCATAATACACAAGTAAGATATCAACTATTTCAATACCGGGTTAAACCACACGTCTGAGGAGACAGCCTGGTCATCAATCTTCCGAAATATGTGAATCTCTGGGTCCAACAAGGCGGAGAACAGGCGATGAAAGAAGTCCTGCAGAAATATAATCGAAGCATAATTGTTATTCATTTTAAAGGATTATGGGCAAACCCGAGATGAATTTTTCCCCGTATGTCACAGGCTTTATATATCTTTACTTAAATATAATAATCTATTATATCACATTATAGTATTAGGTTAATAATGGTTTGAAAGCTTTCATCTGTTCCAACATGAAGTGGAAAGACAGATTTTATGTAAAATTCCGTTCAAAACATTCCGTTGTTGAATCGATCAGCCTAATCTTCGATGGAGCTGTTACTACCGTGCCTTTCCCTGAGCAGCTTTACGAGAAGCTGCTTTCAAACAGGTATGAACTGGTCGCAGCAGATGAAACTGGATGAATCCGGTATATATGGATATGCTCTCAGGAAACCCGCCGCGGTTTTGCTGCATTATATCTGAACGAGGCCGAACTATTCAGCATGTTCGTGCTATTATATTTACCTTACTGGGGCCCCCAAAATCTACCGCAGATTCCCCTTCGAAGTTTACTTCCAACGGTTTGAGCCAGATGGAGTCTGAATCCGAATATCCCCAGTATTTCTCGACATTTTTTATCGCCGACTGCACGATATTGTGTCGCTCCACATGGAACTGAAGACATGTTGGAATGATGGGTAACCGAGCTTTAGGGTACCACTTTGCATATATCGTCTTGTTAATCCGTCGCCTGATGGTGTTCTCGCGGTCTGCCTTCATCATGTCTCGCTCCTGTGGCACAAGGAAGAAGAAAAAACGCTACAAAAATAAACATACGATAACAAAATATAAAAACGGACACACAAACAGCACAAATATAAATACAATAAAACCGAATAAAAGACCATGAAATGTTATTAACTGAAAATCTACCATAATATCATAAAAATAGCATAATAAAAACATTTTGTTTTGTTTTTGTTAAATTAACACATTAATTAATTAAGGAAAACGATAATAAACTGAATACTTACAGAATCTTTTAAAGGAAATTTAACTTTTTATCTGCTTCGGTCACCTAATGGGACGAAAGCGAGGCGCCACAGTCGACTTAATTCGTCGCATGTTTAATGTGTATTATACATTCAAAATAAGGTGGCAGTCAACGGCTTCAGGACCCAGCGACCATTCTGTGTTGATTTTGTTTCTGCCTATGTTTGTTTTTTGTTAACCAAATTATGAATACTTTGGCTAATTTCTAATGATTGAAGATGGGATATACAGTGCGGGACTGGTATAAATATTTGAGAGCGTGTTGTGGGTCGTGTAGGGGGCGACCCCCTCGACATAATAATATTGTTTAATGTGTTAGCAGTTGTGTTATTGGAATTCAGTGCATTGAGGCAGACATCTGAATTGTGAAGAATAGTGGATCTCACATGAAGAAAAAAAAAAAAAACTTCATTGGTTGAGGTGATCCTGACATGTGGTTTTAGTCTTTACCGACCGATATGAAATGTTATTTAACTGAACCCATCTTTTACAAATGGGCAAGTCGAGACTACTATGTCCGATATATGTCCGCGTATATTGTTGTGTATCTGATCCTTGTATGAAGTAAGGCATGATGGCTTTTTGGTAGAGTAGTGGTCTCGCAACCGGCAGGTCCCGGGTCCGAAACCAAGTTGATGCGCTAGTGCCCTTTGGTAAGGCATTAATCCTCATTTCAAAATACTTCGGTGAGGACTTTAAGCCGTCGGTCCCCTGGTTTCTTACTTACAAGCATATACATGCTTTCTTAGCAGTCAGATAAAGAAAAAAAACAACCCCAAGAGATAATATCGGATCAAACATGAAGTCAAAATCTTCAAAGCTCCAGAATTTTAGTAATACGTGGGGCATCTAAAGACCAAATACCTTGACTTACCGAAACGTATAAGTACAGTATCTTACCATGATCAGAACAGCTTCAAGAGAAACGAACTTCCATTTTGTTCTGACATTGAGCAGAAAAGGTACGTCAAGCCAAGTGAAGGCCTATTTATAATTATACAAAAATGTATATGATTAAAATGCAAATCACTTTCTCATTCTATAAACCACAAGGTTCAACGCAACATCAAAACATTACTAAACATGCTAAAGCTGACCACAAAACTTGGTATTTATACGTGACACAACATTTCGTTTGCAAAATATATTTTTGGACAGCGAACCAGTTAAATCTTCTTAGGGTACGTTTATGCTTAATTTAGAAGGCAGAATGAGCTATTTAAAACGCTCATCGTAAACGCTCATCGTCAACGCTCATCGTAATCGCAGTTTCACGGTGTACTGTTTATGCTCACCTTTCTGGCTCCTCCAGGCATGATTCTTGCTCAGAGCCAGAATCATGCTTGGAGGAGCCAGAGATGTGCAGTGCAGAGTATGCACTGCGCATGCTACGTTGGCCCCATTAAAACGCGTTTACAAATGATTGTGCGTTTATGGGTACGTCTATGCCCAGTTTTGAAGGCAGAATGAGCGATTTGAAACGCTCATCGTAATCGCACTTCCACTGTGTACTGTTTATGCTCACTTCTCTGGCTCCTCCATGCAGAAGTGCAGTGCAGTGTTTGCAGCTGGATTCGCACACCTGCACTGCGCATGCTACGTTGACCCCATTTAAACGCGTTTACAAATGATTGTGCGTTTATGCTTCCCCAGAAACGCCGATCGTAAACGCACCTTTTTGTGAGTTTACGATCGGCGATTACGATCGCCTTTTTTCGCTGATTCTACAAAAATGAGAAAGGACGCAAAAGCGTTTTTAACTAAACGTGTAACAGATGCCTCATTCTGGCCAGAAAAAGTTGAGCATAAACGCACCATATATAAGTGAAAAGAAGACCCGTTGTGAGGCAATTGGAAAATGTAGGCTATGTAGTACATGCATGTTATATTATATTAGGGCGTATACGGATACCTGCCCCCTGGACAACCACCCCCAGTCAACAACCCCTAGGACAGCTACCCCTAGGGCAAGTACCCCCCTATGTCAACCACCCCCAGTCAACAACCCCTAGGACAACTACCCCTAGGGCAAGTACCCCCTAGGTCAACCACCCTCTAAGACGACTAACCCCTAGGACAAATCCACCCGGACAACCACTACCTGGCCAACTAACCCCGGACAACTACCATGAGGGATAGTTGTCCGGGGGTAGGTGTCCTAGAGGATGGTTGTCGTGAGGGGTAGTTGTCTGGGGGGCAGTTGTCCTAGGGGGTAGTTGTCTGGCTTTGTTATCCGGGGGTGCATGTCCAGGGGGAAGGTGTTCTAGAACCTGTGTGTCCGGATGCTTAACAAACATTTATCGGATCAAACATGAAGTCAAAATCTTCAAAGCTCCAGAATTTTAGTAATACGTGGGGCATCTAAAGGTCAAATACCTTGACTTACCGAAACGTATAAGTACAGTATCTTACCATGATCAGAACAGCTTCAAGAGGAACGAACTTCCATTTTGTTCTGACATTGAGCAGAAAAGGTACGTCAAGCCAAGAGAAGGCCTATTTATAATTATACAAAAATGTATATGATTAAAATGAAAATCACTTTCTCATTCTATAAACCACAAGGTTCAACGCAACATCAAAACAGCAATAACTGACCACAAAACTTGGTATTTATACGTGACACAACATTTCGTTTGCAACATATATTTTTGGACAGCGAACCAGTTAAATCTTCCTAGGGTACGTTTATGCTTAATTTAGAAGGCAGAATGAGCGATTTAAAACGCTCATCGTAAACGCTCATCGTCAACGCTCATCGTAATCGCAGTTTCACGGTGTACTGTTTATGCTCACCTTTCTGGCTCCTCCAGGCATGATTCGTGCTCAGAGCCAGAATCATGCTTGGAGGAGCCAGAGATGTGCAGTGCAGAGTATGCACTGCGCATGCTACGTTGGCCCCATTAAAACGCGTTTACAAATGATTGTGCGTTTATGGGTACGTCTATGCCCAGTTTTGAAGGCAGAATGAGCGATTTGAAACGCTCATCGTAATCGCAGTTCTACTGTGTACTGTTTATGCTCACTTCTCTGGCTCCTCCAGGCAGAAGTGCAGTGCAGAGTTTGCAGCCGGACAACTACCATGAGGGATAGTTGTCCGGGGGTAGGTGTCCTAGAGGATGGTTGTCGTAAGGGGTAGTTGTCTGGGGGGCAGTTGTCCTAGGGGGTAGTTGTCTGGGTTTGTTATCCGGGGGTGCATGTCCAGGGGGAAGGTGTCCTAGAACCTGTGTGTCCGGATGCTTAACAAACATTTACCGAAATGTATGCATCAATTAGCCCAAACGATCATAACATTATTCTTCAAATTGCCGTTTAAAATCTTCTCTGTCCGTAAACACAACCTGTCCGGACACACAGCGAATGGTTTGGTACATACGAAACGCCATGATATAAAAAAAATTATCTAGTTTTGCTAAATGCCACATGTACTGCGTACAGAAATGATTCAATCCGCGTTGTCCCAATGAGGACTACACGCAAGTTTGTTGGTCCAAATTGTTCGGAGCTCTGTTTCTTGTCATATTTTTTCTTCTAAAGAACAATCTTTTTCATGGGATATTTTCTTTTGTGATGTTATTCCAAAATGAACCTAAAATAAAAAAACACACTTTTCACAGTCTAGCTTGTCTTAAAAAAATTGAGTGATTCCAACCTTGGATTCGGAGGTGGTATTCTTGGCGTACTGGAGCAGGTCACGGCGTAAATGTGGACTAGATTCCAGGCCTTGGAGCCAGAACAAGCGACGAGACACCGGGTACCCATTTTTCTCATTGATCTTGTAAACAGATTAAATTTAGGAGTAAAAAATTAAACGAAGTAAAGCTATTTTAACAAAACAAATTCAAAGTACAATGAAAACGTTAAATACCGTACCTACCCCTGGATATCCACCCCCGGATAACTACCCCAAGACAACCACCCCCTAGGACAATTACCCCCTAGGATAACTACCCCTGGACAACTACCAGCGGACAACTACCCCCTATGAAAACTAACCCCGAAAATCTACCCCCTGGGTAGTTGTCCTAGATGATGGTTGTCGTAGGAGGTAGTTGTCCCGGCGGGAAGTCGTCCTTGAGGGTGGTTGCCTTAGGGGGTAATTGTCATATGGGGTAGTCGACCGGGGGTAGTTATCCGGGGGTGGATGTCCAGGGGGTAGGTGTACTAGAACCGTCAAAAACATGAACCGTATTGATCAATGTATCTTCCGTGCATTTAGCTTCTCGATCATTATAAGGAAGGACAAACATGGTAAGAGTTAATGGTGTGGCTATAAATGGACACGTGCTCCCCGTCCCCTCTCTGGACAGAATGGAAAAAAATAAGAAGGTGGTGGCGGGGGGGGGGGGGGGGGAGCGAGATAGGGATAAATCATGTGAGAGATGGAAGCAACGTAGAAGCAAATGGATGCCCCCATCTGCACTGTTAAAATCACTCGACGGCCTTACTATTTACTTTTTCACAGTAAGGCCTCCCCATCCATTCTATGATCCGGGTGGTACCTCAATTACTAGGCCCACGTTAGGTCCCCGGTTGCACTGCTCCCCCTCCCCCAATCTGAGTACGATCCTCACAATGATCCCTATTCTTCTAATCTAGTTAAAATCGAACCTGGGTCTATCACTCAGACGTCAGGCTCTATCAATTTCGTTTTAAAATCCGATTTTGAACAAAAGCTTAAGCAGAGCGGAATATGGGCAGTATGACACGGCCCCCTCCCACCCGAAAACCTCTACCATTTTAAACTACACGTACCATAGACGGTTGTTTTTATCCATGATCATGATTCGTAAGACTACTTCAGTAAAGTCGCACAATGAGTTGACTGAAGGAAACCAACCTCATTTAATATCTGTAGTACACGGATGCACAGAAGATTAATTTGGGACCTCGTGTTGATCGACCACACCAGCATTATATGAAAAGCCTTTACAAACAGTGCCAAAAGCTCTTGGTCCTCTACCAACATCCGTTCTGTACAAAATAAGATCAAAATTCAACCGGTTACCGAAGGTTCCTAATTCCGAAGGTTTGTTTTTCTGAATATATATAAAGGGATCTTATCAGAAGGTGCATAACTCCGAAAATGACATAGAATTTTGTACTCTTTTTCTCGCAATTAATACGAACCTTCCGAATAATAAATCCCATTTTATTTCCGGAATTATGTAATTTTGATACATATCGGAATTACGCAAAAAGGGTCGACAATATGAACCCCCTGGTATCAAAAATTTGTTTCGGAATCACCAAACTTCGGAATTATGAACCTTCGGAAAACCGAGTGCCTCACATTAAACCTACTCGACTATCATCAAGCTGTGGTTATAACTCCGCAGCAATTGATATACCACCTGCATGCTTATTAGGGTCAAACCTTTCGATACAGGAATAAATCATTATAACCATAACATAGTCATGTGACTGCCTATCAGAAAAGAGAATAACCACAAATGAAACGGTAGATTATTTTGAGAAACCATGGCAAATAATAAAGCTGTCAATCTTAAGAACAAATTGATTTTGTCACAGTTGTTTTCTTTAGTCTTGTTTTGTCTTTTTATTTAGTCTTTGCTTTTCCATATAGAGAGAGGCATAACGGGGGTAAAGTCGCAAAAAAACAAAAAATATCCTAATCAAATGGGGGTCCGGAGTTTACATTCTGATTTTTCTTTTAAGAAAACAGTGTCGTTATAACGTATTGAAAGTTTACGTAATAAATTATTTTAAAGATTATAGGCAATAATATGCCTAATCATGGCTACTCGATCATAACATCAGGGAATATATTAATATTGGTAGCAAACAGATGTGTGTGTCTTCATGTGTTGCCGTTCCCCATTCTAAGCGAATTGGGTCAAATATTTAAAACCAGCATGTTTCCCTTTTAAACTCAATATTGAGTGGAAACGTAAAGCCTCGGTCACAAATGCCATTACGAACTGCTACGAACGCCGTACCAACGATTTTTAGACAATGGAAATTCGGGAAGACAATTGGAAAACAGGGAGATTCGTACGAAATTATCGTTCGTACGAACCTTTGTGACCGTAGCATTACTTAATTCGTTATACAGTGCGTCCCAGAAAAAACGAAACCGAGAAGTATCGATGTTCTATCATAACTTAATCACAACTATGATTAATGAATGATACATATTTGGAAAGCTTAGAGTCTCCTCTTTCATGTGATGCTACTCAGATGATGTATATTTCACGCATGAGTAATTAAAAGCAATTTGAAGGAAGGAAACCAAAAAGACATTTGGCGGGCGGTATCTGAATTTCGAAGGAAAATTCACATTTCTAGAAAGTTGAGTTTCTGCCCTTTCATATGACACCTTAATCAGGAAAAGTGAGCGAGGAATGACAAAGTTATGTTTGTTTAAAGTAGTGCTTGCATTTCCATAATTTTATTAAACGAATTCGTTTTCACTGGCTGCCTGCCGTATCAATAAACGAAATTAACAAAAGACTTAACTCCGTTTCGTTGACAATCAGCCGTAGACGATAGTCTGCATGCATGGCTGATTGTCAACGAAAAGGAGTTATGTCTTTTGTCAAATCTGCTTTTTGCTACGGCAGGCAGCCAGTGAAAACGAATTCGTTTGTTAAAATTATGAAAATGTAAGGGCTACTTTAAACAAACAGAACTTTGTTATTCCTGGCTCATTTTTCTTGATTGAGGTATCATATGAAAGAACAGAAAATGAACTTTCTAGAAATGTGAATTTTTCTTTGAAATTCAGATACCGCCCGCCAAATTACTTTTTGGTTTCCTTCCTTCAAATTGCTTTTAATCACTCATGCGTGAAATATGCATCATCTGATTAGCACCACCTGAAAGAGGAGACTTTAAGCTTTCCAAATATGTATCATTCATTAATTATGGTTCTGATTAAGTCATGATAAAACATCGATACTTCTCGGTTTCGTTTTTTCTGGGACGCACTGTATATAGGTAGTAGGCCATCTTAATCAGCCACAATTCACACGTAAGATTGATTACCTAGTGACTGGAAAAGGGGATCGGAGCTGTTCTTCAACTGGATAAGGCAATCCCCCGTTAACTGAAGATCATTACGATATCCGTTGTCAACTGGCCTCATAGGTCCAAGAAGTTCCATGAATATGGTCTTGAGGATGACTTGGCCATTTGGAGTCTCAAAGAGCCATTGGCCCCAAGAAGTTTTAACCTGGTGAAGCGCCTTCTTCACCTAAGTTAGAGGAAATTCACGGAAAAGCAAATTGAAATATTCATATCAGTGGTATTATCATCATAATTAGTATAATTATTTATTAAAAGAGATGATTGGTACTAGAGAATAGAAGAATAGCAACGAAAAACAGACTTAATAACACTTTTCGTCTTGCACTTATCGGAGTAAATCGCAAGAAAGCACAGTAACAGTCCGAAAGGATAATTGTCCGGGGGGGGGGGGTAATTGTCCCGGGGTAGTGTAATTGTCCTGTGTGGTAATTATAGAGAGGTTCGTGAGAATTCTCTTGTTAATCTAGGTAGCATTGCTATAGCATGTTTTCATTAAACAGCTGGATTTTTTAATCCACTTTGACGCAGCCAATCACAGCCGTTAAATTTTCGCTCGCCTTGTTCCCTTATCTCCCTTGTTCTTTCTTGCGATTTACTCCGATGAGTGTAAGACGAAAAGGTTTAAGTTATCTGTTTTTCGTTGCTATACATTGAATTAAAAATGTGCGACTACTTTGTTTTGATTTCTGTCATTTGGCTGGTAAATTATTGCAGTAGTTTCTTTAATACTGTGAGTTATGATTTGTGACAGTGATTGCCTTGACGGTAGCATTGACAGGTCATTGACCATTGCTTTGGCGACCTTTCATTCTCCCTCACATTTAGTATGTACTCATCAGTCTTTCCAGTACCATTAGATTTTTAAAACCATTTACGTTCTTGCTATGTGTATCTGTGGTTGCCCTCGCATTTATTTCAAAGAGATGTGGATCATATTTATCAAAGGGATCGAAACGAGTCGAAATGTGATACATTTGCGTCCATCAACATATCCCCAAAACGAAATTACGTCTGAGTTGGGTTTATTAAATTCGAAATCGAAATGTGGAAGTCCCATCATTCAGGATCCCCCGAAGTCAACATAAAAGAGTTTATAGCAGCTTACTGGTTGCATTAAGCCGACTGGACACAGTTAAAAAAAAGGTAAGAATACCAATTGCCTGAACATGGATAAAATAGAAACACAAGTTTACAACAACAAAGTATTGGTTGTCCAACCTCCACGAAAATGTGTGTCACATCCAGTGGGCCAAGTCCTTTGCAAGCCTCATTGTTTATCAACCCCATGACAGCTCCATGCAGAAAATCTAGAGCCAGCCTTATGAGCACATTGGAGTTTGCAAACCATTGTTCTAGATGAAGAAAAAGATCCAATATTAAAATGTATTATCATTTCGGCCCGATAATATGTTTGATGGTCGGAACGAGCTGTAAGAAAGTTATAATGCAATATTTTGTTTGTATACAATAATAATAATATAACAATAATGATTATTATTATATGAATAATAATTATACTATGAATAATAATTATATTATAAATAATTATTATACTATGAATAATTATTATACTTTGAATAATTATTATGATTATGATATGAATAATAATGAAATAATGTCGTGTTTACCCAGGGTAGCGCCATTAGTAATATGACCTTGCAATTCTGAGAATACGCACGAGCATTCAAGAAATGTCCTCCTATTTGGTACCCATTTACTACACCTGGGTTAGGAGTGGTAATTGTATTTTGGATTAATATGACGTCAAAGGTTATTATTGCTGCAGTGGGACTCGAACCGCGAACCATGGGATTCACAGTCCAGCGACGTACCCACTAGACCACGGCACCTTTACTGCTTACAAGCATATACAAAATCAAATATCAGTCTACATCACTGGAACAAAATCTTCCTCAAAATCTATTGTATGACGAAAGATATACCTTTTGTCTAGGAAGGAATGTTATCTCTTAAAAAGTTTTTGCACTGAATAGACAGTATTATATTTATTGCAGTGAGTAACCTATATAAAGGCGCGATGGCTCAGTGGTAGAGCACTTGATGTCAAATGTTTTGATAACTTTTAATTTATGTATATATATATATATATATATATATATATATATATATATATATAACGACACTGCAAGGTATATATAAATATATAAAAACAATATTGGGGCTCTTAAAACATTTTCATTGCATTACATATATTTACCGATTACCTATTGCTTGAACCAGGGGATTAGAGGTATCTTTCATCTGGTTAAGTATATCTGGAAGGTTTTGGAGCAGATTACGGAACGCCCTTTCATCGGGTCTCATGGGCTCAGGAATCTGAAGAAAGAATCCTGTGAGCTTCGCCAACCCTTCTTGCGTCTCGCAGAGATGTTTACCAATGTCAGTTATTACACGGATAGACGCTAACTAGGTTTAGAAGAAAGAGAAAAATAGTGCTAAAAAGGTAATTGTTTGAAGCATGATTTCACAAATCTAAGAGACACATACGAACTCACAAATTCCATATTTTGTTTCCCTTTTTTTTGTTTCCTTGTTATATTATTTATGCATAATCGCCAACCCTTAACTACATTCACAGCACCATTGCACAAATGAATTAATGAAACATTTTTTATTGAACAACAAGTCGTTTTAACAAAAACATTAAAGCACGTGTACAAAATGGACGGCATATTTCGATTCATAAACTTGTTTACATGTTTGTTTTGCTCTTCTTTTGACAAAGTTTTAGCTATATTATTCTAATAAACATCACGCATGGCCTTTTCACCATTATCATCTTACAATATATGAATCTGCATCGATTTGCTTTGTTTGATGAACTGTAAGGGTTGTTACAAAACGGGGTAGCACCTGATCATAGCTAGATTAATTTTAAGTGGGAGAGAATTGTTTGGAGTACATAATTAACCTATGATCGCGCATGCGTACCTATACGTGCGTTTGCACGGCCACAACTATGCATCTAATTTGTTTGCGCCCTCTTTTGGCAGCTGAGGTTCGAAAAAAAGCTGAGGCGATAGTGTATACGACATGGCGAACATGCTACCTACCTCGTTGATGATTCTTGACACATCAAGTGACATGTTTCCTTTGTCAGCATTACTCTTCATCAGCCTCATCACTCCTCCGTGAAGAAAATTAACAGCTACCTTCACAAGCATATGGTAGGTAGAAAACCATCGTTCTAGATCATGATAGAATCAAGCGCCTTTCATCAAACTAGTATTATTCAAAGAGATTTGTAGATTTGTATTTCAGATCGAAGAAAATCAAATTTTAATGGGCCATGAAGAAAGTGCAGCTTTCTTTTGCTTAATCTAATCTTCTGGTTTCAAATATAAATATCCATCAATAATTACAATTGCACCTATGTTCCGAGCCTGCGTCTGATGCATATTAGTTTACATGGCTCTTGATTTTTCATGAAGCAATAAACTGTAATTTCATGTTCTCAGTACGACTTCACTTGGACAGTTAGACTTCTACAAGAACAATAGTGCCTAAATATTTCACATTTCGCAAAATAAAATAAAGACATTAATTTATCACTTTTCTCCTCATCTAATCCCATCCAATCCTAACAATAATTGTTATTGTGCCTATTCCTTGCAGTTACAATACACAGCACACAGTGCTCTACATGCTTTTGGCCACTTCAATAATAACATATCACTTCAAAGCAAATCAGGTGAGTCAATAGAATCAATTGTAATCTAATAAAATAAATGGGACATCTTCCAAGATCAAATCATATCACTTTATGACAGACTAGGAACCTACCTATGTCTTGAAAGTGGGGATGAGACCTATCCTGTAGCTGGGTTAGTACTGGTGTCAAGACGTGGAGGAGATTGCGCAGCCCCACTTCCACTGGGTCCCTGAGCTCGGGAAACTCTTCAAGAAAGGTCCTCTGCAGCTCCCTGCCCTCTGGCGTCCCGTAGAACCATTGGTCAAGAGTTGTTATTGACTGGTGGAGGATTTCTGCTACCTGATTTTAGAAGTTTCAATATTTCCAAAATTTGAAATGATGCACTGACGTTTGAAATGCACATGCACATATCAATAAAACACACTAATAATGATGGAGATGCAATTGCTCAATGGTAGAGCGTTGTATATGCTCCAGAAGTAAAGCGGTAGCATCAGTCTGGCCGCACGGTCGCCGTATGGTCCCATCCGGCCACCTTACGGGCACCTTGCGGCTACCTTGCGTCTGCCTTAGTATTTGTCACAAAGCTACGGCCGCCAAGGAGACGCCCTTAGGTGACCGCACGTCATCACTTCAAAGGCCGTACAGTAGCCGCAGAATTTCTGTCTCCACACATTCAAAATACGCCGTGCGGATACCCTAACATAGGTGACCGCTACCGTATGTGACCGTGGGAATGTTGCGGCGGTCCTATAATTGCTATTGGCCGTAGATATTTTAGACCGCAAGGCCGCGGCGGCAAATGTGACTCACCCGTGACAGGAATATAATGAGTAGGGTATCACTTGACAGAAAATAGGTTACTCTTGATCATGAAATACATCCCAAAGGCATATTGGTCATGAATTTTTAATTGGGAGCTAATCAAAGCTGGTTACAAGTCTTTTGTTTATCCACACTGTATCGTGCCGTTCATGGATTCGAGGCCCCAACCCTTGGATTTAGCAGTCAGATAAAGTAACCATCACATCGATATTTAGCTGCAAGTGAATAGACCATCATAGCACGACCCCTGCAAATATGGTCTTTGCTGGTCGCCAAATAATTACCTCCTGTAATCCGTGGTCATCCATTGTTGAAACAGCTCTGCCGTCCGTTCTTTCATTCTCAACGGCTGCGGAACTAATGAAAATATCAATGGAGTAATCATAAGTATATTCACAAGGCACAATAATTTAAACGTTGGGTAAACATGTCTTGTTTCCTCCTACGTACCTGGAAGTAATACACATTATGTTCCTATCAATAAATTATATCTAAGAGAATGTCCGGAACTTTGTTAAAAGTTTCTGTATTTATTTCCATTTTTTTGGAGGGGGGGGGGGGGGGTGGGAGGTGGGAGTTACGTATTACACAATTCTCTTCCAGAAAAACTGATTTGAACAAAATCCTTATCTCGAGCTCCGTCTGTCACCCACCTTCACATTTTAGCCCATGAGATTCACCATCTGACCGTCCTTGTAGGTCATGCAAACATTAAATAGCCGTCTGCGCTATAATGGCCTAGTGCTTTGCGTCAACAGACCTCAACTAGGCACAGACCCTTGGCAACCGTCGTGTGTAACAGTGTCTGCAATATGAGACTACAATAGGCTCTGTGCTTAGGCGGCATTTGACACAGCCATAAATGATGGTAAATTGTCTGCTTGCAGACTAGTCTAAACCTGACACGAAATGAGTAAGCCATGAGTAAGCCATGTAGAATATCATTGATTATAAAACATACAAAAAACAATTACTTCTACTATTAGTTTTACTACTGCTACTACTACTACTACTACTACTACTGCTGCTGCTACTTCTACTTCTACAAGTACTAATGATAATAATGTTTATATATATACTCTGTTAGTCATAATGGTGGAATAATTATTTTCATCCCAATTTATGGAATGATTTTGACGATGATTTATTCCTAATAAATCTAGATAATAGCGTGACTGCTAAAGCATGTTTGTGCTACTATATTAATCAAGTAGGGGACCTACATCCTTAATTCCTAACTGACGGTAATGAGGATTAATGCCTCACATAAGGGCACTAATATAGCACATCGCACGATTTTTATCCTTGGGTCTCACAGTAGCGAGGCCATTACTTAGCCACGGAACCATGACTGTACGCAGCGGGGGCTATGGTACGGGGCCGCCCCCACAAATACACACACACACACACACAAAAAAAAAAATGCAATAAATTATCAATAATTCATTGCATTTTGCCCCGATCCCCAACGGAAACAGATTCTCTGTGTGGCTATGCCTTGACCTATAATGCATGGCCCCTACAGAGGAATTTTTCCGGTTGGGGATCAGGGGCAAAAATGCATATTTGATAATTCTTTGCATTTAGCCCCTTTTATTCTGGAATAAGACTGTGCCCTCCCCGTACTTCTGTAAATAAGACTGTGCCCTCCCCGTACTCGCCTTTCACGTTCTCGTAATTCATTCATCCCTAATTCCATACATGTGTATAATTCAACTGTGACGCGATAAATGTATACATAAGGCTACCTACCTATCCTTATAATCGTATATTTCCTACTGGATTCGAAATATATTTCCTACTGGATTTGAAATTGCTATTGTTGATTTTGAAAGCTGTCCGTTTGATTGCACTTCAATAGCTGATATTGAAGTGCAATTAAACGGATAGCTGGAGACTGTGGATCGGGAGCTAGCGGATGGGGGGGGGGGGGGGATCTAACGGGAAATGAAATATCATATTATGAGACATTTTAATTTATGACGCATGTTATTTATTCATACGATTGTGCCGGTAAATTGTTAACTTGATTTCTTCAATCGTTAAGAGTTCATTTTACTGTAGAAGTGTTGCGTAATTATATCACGCATTTATAATTATGAAATCTAAATGTAAATGTATTTATTCCTGTTATTTTTCTGCAAATCCAAAACGGTACATCTGTGGATCAGGAGCTAGCGGATGGGGGGGGGGGGGGGGGGGGGGTGGTGACGAGAAATACTATATTATGTTATGAGACTTTTTAATTTATGACACATGTTAAATGTAGGCAATAGGAAATTGAGGGGCATATGCACACTATAAATAGTTATCCATATTTATGTACATAGTTTTCTATTGTTAATGTTATATTTTATTTTGTATCATTTGTATTTTCACTGTCAAAAAAGCCATTGGAAGCAAAATTTCTATGTAATGTTTGCATGCATGGACCAATAAAATAATCTTGAATCTTGAATCTTGAATCTTGAATTGACTTACCTAGTAGTACTGAAGAGTTTGAAAAACGCATCGGGGACAAAGCAACTCACGAGTTCGGAATTGAGACCGTCAACAATATCCTCGCTTACGGTGTCGATCTCGTCGGCACAAGTAGTAGCATTATTGTCTTGATGGTCGTCGGAAATGGTTGAGACATCCCGGATATCCTCCGCCATCGCCTCTTTCTAAATCTTTCGAGGACGCCTTAAAAACACGCAAGTAGAGTTTCTATATACACTGTCGATGTTCAACAGGCTACGTTTATACGCATCTAGTCCTCCTTCTGCTTAGTGAATATAAATGTATTATGAAACCTGACATACATGTAACATAAATCTGAGAGGCGTGCGATATGTGCGATGAATTTGTTATGGCGGAATATACTCCAGTACAACATAAACACGCAACAATACGTTTCATATATTGCACACAGTTAGTCTTTATGCACAGACCCTAGTTTGTTACTTCAACACAATTCGATACATTCTTGAGACGAGCCTAATTCTGTCAGTCACTTATGTGTGTCCCCGGGTGTGTATGGGCAGGAGCAGCTAATTACAGCCTATGTTGTGCCATAGACCGTGCATCCTGCTTAGTCTCCGAATTTAGACACACAGTAAATACACACAACGTCTGACACGGGTTTGCGCCTGCAAACTAGGCACTCTATGGTTGGCGGCGTTGGTTTTACCGTCTCTATGCCGATTACTTACGTGGGGGAATACCCGAATTGGTATTTCAAAATATTTCGCAATGCCTGATCTGAAATATCCCTACTTGCTCTGATTCGATGGGTACAATCAATAACTAATTCACTCATGCAGGAGGGGTGGGGGCATCAATGAGGGAAATAAATTTAGATAATATTTGAATTTTTTCTTCTCGAAATCTTGCACGCTTCAAAATACCCTTTTTTCCTTTTATGTTTCAGTGATAAAAGTGTACAAGAAACGGGAACTGATTTAAATTGATTTTACTACCTACCTCGACTCTCTCTTTCTGATATACAATTATGTATCTCTCTCTCTCTCTCCCTCTCTCAATAAATATCATAAAACAAACACATATCACATACAATAAGTACAATAATAATAATAATGGTGATAAAAATACATCGCATATTATTATAATTATTATTAATACGAGTTTTATTAGTATATGTGACATTACTTCTATTTGAGGACAATAAATATACAGCAACACGTCGAGGATATACTCGGACAAGTCACCATATGTCGGTGGGGTGACAAAACCTCGTATCTCAATTTTTTGAGATTTTGATTATTTTGCATAATTTTGTAGCTAATGGCCTACGACACCACCTGATAAATCCATGGAACGCCTCCTGTCTCGGTTTTTCACAAATACTCATAAACACCCTTAAACTAAACCTCGTAACTTTAACCCCCTTTGAAGCTGCACTGACAAAACCTCGTAACATAAGATACGTAATTCCTTTTCCTCGTAACTCACACACGGCCTAACAGTACCGAAGTTAGTGTATTCAAATCCTCGTAACTTATTCAACCAAAACCTCGTAACTCATTCAGAGTTGTAAGTAAGAACTCGTATCTCAATTTGAATAACAACTAAAAACTCGTATCTCAATGTAGATAAAAGCAAAAACCTCGTAACTCACTTTCAAATATAAAAACAATTATTTTACTGTATTTCAAAAATGACATTAAAAATTGTATAAATATTCCAGTTTAAAAAGAAAGGACGATGTCACAGCACTAAATTTGTTGAGACAGGAAAGTTTTTTCGCTCTCCTGAAAATTCATGATTTTTGAGATACGAGGTTTTGTCACCCCACCGACTATAATGGCTGGAAGGAAATGCGTGTTAATGAACTAAATTAATGAAATAAAGTAAAATAGCATTGAAATACTATTTTATTAAGAGGTTATCCTATTGCATAGACGAATAATCCGGTACCATGCTAAATTTCTTATCACTTGTATGATCTTGTATTAAGTTGTTATACTCTAGTTATGTGTTCATGTATGCATCTTGCTTTTATGCCGATTATTAAATATATATATATATATATATATATATATATATAATCAAATAAAATAACAATAAGATTACAGTAGGTATACGTGATTTAGATGAATGCATTGATAGGTCCATAAACCCAGTGGGATACTGTCCTTACTTAACTGATGAATTTGCACAGCGCCATCTCATGGTTAACTTGAAAACAGTGCGTAACCCACTGAAATCTCTATAGATATACACTGTACAGTTGGTCATAAGGTAGAATAAATTGTTTTACCCCAATTTATGGATTTTGACAATGATTTATTACTAATAGATCTAGATGATATTATACATACTCATATTTTATTAAATAATGATTGGCGAGTATTTGTTTTGCGTGACTGCTAAAACATGTGTTTACCCCTCCTCCGGTAAATTAACCCCCAAGGACAACCACCCACCGAGGACAATTATTCCCCCGTCTCCCACCCCCGGAAAATTACTCCCTGTTCATTAGAGGCCTGGGGGAAGTTCACCCTTATAGTAAGTTGGTTTTAATTTTGTTTCGGGGGGGGGGGGGGTGATTGTCCTCGGGGAGGGGGGTCGAGGATAATTGTCCTTGGGGTATTTGTCCCGTTGGACACACTGATACTAAGTTGGTTTTAACAAAAGCAGAACAAATAAAAAAATAATTTTAATTGTGAAAGTCTAAGCACAATCCGGTGAAAATAGGAAAGTTATGTATATCTGAATTCGTCATCAGTGAAACACAAATTGGCACCAACGTGACGTATCTTGCAAACTTCTCTCAAAGTTGCTCTTTACAGAAATGTCATAAACTTTCATTTTCTTAGTTATTTACGACGGAATAGATTTGTTTCATCAAGGGTTGTATAAACACAATTGCAATGATTACAATAAGGGTGTATAAATGATTGAAAATTTTCTCAAAGAAGATTACAGCTTTTTGAAGTTTTTTGTAATACAGTGCAAATTATAAGGGAGGTCACAAGATATCTCAAAGATGTAGTTGCCCATTTGTGTTTAAACGCTTGCACCTTCAAAAAATCATGACTTTCTTATTTTTAATCGGTGAAACTTCTTCAACCTCTAAGCCAAATGAAGGCTAGCAACAAAAGGCTACCGCTGGTCACCAACCACCGACACGTTTATAACATGCAGGAAACCAGGTCATCTTGACTTACGATACCTTTCACAGGTCAACCTAAAGGAATTCAAAACCAACAGTCAATTCAATTCAATTCAATTTATTCATGTTTCAACAAAACATTACGAATCAATTATAAGCACTTAAGACAAAATTAATGTTACAAACAAAAACATGCTGGAAACAGAGGGGTCTACTAAAAGAAATGCTTGTACAAGTGTGAACCCCTCAACTTATACTTAGGGATAATGAGTAATTAAATTTACTAATCCGTAACTACAAAAGGAATTAAAAAGTAGGGGGAAAAGGGGAATGCCAACAGAGACGAGAACGGGACAAGACGATGCTTTAAATTCACTATTTATTTACATAACTGGCACTATCCATTTAACTATCTTTTCAACTTTTATACAGATAATACCAACAACATTTCATACCATGGGCATATGCAATATTTACATGAGCACGCCCTCTGCGCCCTCAAGAAAATAACTAGCTTTCAATTTATCGAAGTGTTTGAGTGATTTCAATCAAGACAAGAAAATGAAGTGTCACAAGCAGACACTCCAAATAATCATACCAAATTTTCAAATACTCAACCTTATACTTTATAAAGATAATATGAAATTGCAAATAAGCAATAAATCTAGATTTTCGCGAAAGTATTCCGCATAAAAATTCAAGGTAATCAACCAAATTGTTTTCAAAAGTTAGATGAAAATACAAATTAAACTAGTCTTCCTTAAAACGTAACTTCATATGATAATGTGACGGTCAGCGTAAAATCTAACTTGTTCATTTTTATAAAACTGACTTGAAACACCAAAATATATATGTGGGACTGATTTTTCGATCTTTTCATATATTTTTGTCTATTTCACTTGTTAAATTGCTGAGTTATACTGTCAGGCTGACTTACCATTATTCTGAATGGCTGTACTCTCGCAATAAGGCTCTTACTTTATTTTGATCAATATATTTATCTTTGTATAAAGGTTACAAATTATTTGATGTAATCGCACTTACTTTGAAATAGTTATTGCGAAGATTTATAAATATTCATGTGCGTACATGTAATATTCGCGTGGTTAAAGCATACGCGCATGATAGTGCGCTGATATACGTGACAGCCGAGTTTGATTGATGTGGCTGTACACTTTGTCATTAGATGAGCTGTGAACCTGACCTGTCTGTGAACCTTGTTGAACCGAGATTTACGGTAATTATTCCTTTCGTCGTTTCCGGCCATTGCTATTCATCTGCAGATTAGCTGATTTGCATTGCACCACAACAAATGTTGATCAATCTATTGGACTTTGTACCAGAATTGATTTTTTAATGTTTATTTTAGAGTTAAATGTGTATTTTCATGGTTTTTAAGGCCAAATACAGTCCAGAAGCAGATTGGCAAAAATCTAGCCAAAATGGGATGGCCCAAAACTAGCCAAATTGGTATTGTGCATATGATTAGTATGACTGCTGTGTATATAGATGCTTGTTATATTTGTATTCATTTATCAGATAATAGTTATCAATATGTATGCTTGGAACTGAAACAGAATACACAAAATGGACATGAAACCTTGGATTTTATATTACCGTGCCAGTAATTATTTATTGAATAATGCAACACTTGATAAAATGTCTTTACAATTATATTGCATTACAGAGATGTCAGTTCAGATATCGCAGTCACTGTTAAGAAATGAGCATTGGAAGTGGTGAACATATTCCCTTTATTTATTACTTTTGGTTGAGAGATTTTACTCTTTGTAGCTAATAAATCATTAGCTACGCTGAAATTAGGTGTACTTCAGGTCGCTGGATAGTTTGACTAACTGATCCTTTTCTAACCAATTCCAATCTGGTTTCTGTGACAAGTAGTTCTAAGAATGTTTATTCATGTACAAACTTTTATCTATTTGTGAGATATTGAATATTAGTGCTGCTGCTTATTATTCAATGGAGGACTGATTATTTAATTGGTCATTGGAACATTTTCTATTTTATTATCGATTTTTACTCTAGACTATAGACCATATCTGCTGTGTGACCTAATACATTACCAGTAATATGAATTTCTGGAGGAGGAGGCTGAGAGCCTCAGTAACGTAGTCTGTCACCTGTACCTAGTAGTTTAAGAATATATGTATCTACATGTATAGCAGTTGTACCTTTTATATATATTGAACATTTGTG